TTTATATATCTGCTATATTTAGTTTTTAGCTAGTCTTTTGCTACTTTTTTAATTTTAGCTTCCATTCTTCTATAGTCACCCTTCAGCCATTTGCAAAAATACTTTTAACTTTTAGCTCATTTTTGCCATTTTTAGCTTTGAGCCACTAGCCTGTTGCTACTTGCTAATTTCAGCTAAGCTATAGCTTTTTGATACTTGTTGTTTCTAGCTGACCTTTTGTTATTTTTAGCTGGTGATTTGCTTCTTAACAACTCAGTAGTCGTTCAACAGTCAGCATCCACACTGCATGTTCACAGAAAATGTATTTTCTCTGTTTTCTCTGCTTTATTTTCATTGTTTTATGTGTGAAAAATCAAACGGGTGTAATTTGGCAGGGAAAGCAAATGTATGCTTACTTTCACATTTGTGCACTGAAGCAAAGCCGGATAGGGTGGACGCATGTGCAAGAGCACAGCACATGCACGCCAGCAGAGAATCTGTGCGTGCGTTTGTGTTTGTGTACGCAAGCGAAAAGAAGAGGGGAGAACAAATACAGCTGGAATAAAAGAAAGAGGGCTATTTTTAGCCTCAGTGTGAGGAGCCAAACAACATCATACATCCACAGGGACCTGCAGGCCTGGTGTTCCCCACCTGCAGCGAACCCCCCCACCAAAAAAAAAAAAAAGAAGCAAGGAACATCATCTCTGTGATGTCCTCCCTGTAGTCTCCCCTCTAAAAGACAGAAGCACAGACACACACACATTCCCACAAACTGCCTGCTGCTTCCATCCCTCTGATTCAGTCCGTCTGCGTTATCAGCCATCTGACTCATTGTGCCTCAGTCTGTCCAGCTCTTGGCCGTCTTTCTATTTTCATCCTGTCCTGACATGAAAATGCCATGACCTTGTGTCTTGTGTTGAACCACTGGAGGTATTTGCGTGTTGTTAAACTTGTTGGTGTGAAAGCCTAATCCCACMCTGCTCCACCCTCTCTGCCTGGATGAAATTGGTGTACTTTGCATTTTGGATATTCAAGTAAGCTGGAGAGGATAGAAAAAAACTCAAAAATATTAAATTTTATGTGTCTTACCTCTCAATGAACTGTCATCCTGTTTCATGTTTTACGATGTCGTCTCAAAACTTGTAGCACAATTTTTTAAAAATAAAACCCTCAGGGAGTATTTGAACAGCACATAATGCTGCTCACTCACTGAAAAGCATCTTGAAACAATCAGTTGGTATAAAAAGTTGAAAAGCTTACGCATTTGATAGTGAGAAAACTTTCTCGCTGTTCCAAATGTTGAATTCAATAAAAAAACTTCTAAAAGTAAAACTATTTTAATGGATTGATTCAGTTTACATATGTTGAATGCAGGGGTGGAGCCAGTGGGGTGGCCGGGGGGGTATTTGTTACCCCTGGCCCCTGATTAGCCACTTTATATGCCACCTCCAAATGACTAAGTCAGGTGGGGTTTGCATGTGGCATTTCAAAGAAGGGTATTTAATGAGAAACCTTTTTGTGCTAACTGGGGTAGCTTTCAGAAAGTCATGCAGATTGCTCATGGGTACCACCACACCAAATTTAAACTCAGTATTTCTAAAATAAAAAAAGCTCAATTTGAAATTACACTGTAAAAATGAAATGTTGGATTTACTTAACCATGTTATGTGACCTGGTTCCACTTAA